AGTTTGCCTTTAATTAAATAACAATTTATCGCTACGCCTCATTCGAATGAAGATAGGATCGATCATCAATACGTTTTTCCATAATGCTCTTTTCACCACAACCGCCTGTTATGGAATTCCTAATGACGATGGGGCAACGTTAGAAGCTGCTGTAATAACAGCCGCCGGCTGCTGGAGCTCGATAGATAACGCGAGAAAATATTCAGCGATAAAAAATGCGTCACTCACACAGCGGGCCGATAAAAGAAAAATAACAGTTCTTTTTACATTCTGATCTCCCCGGCGTCCAGTTAATAGGATGATTTTATCCAATAGATATTAGAGAATTGATAACGGAGGTGACGAAACAACTTCACATTAATTCTAAACAAGAAAAAAGAATGAATATTATCAGAGCCGATTGTGCAAACGTTGAGAGGTTGCTTCGATAACATTTACATAATCGCATTTCGCCAGATCCTTTCGCAGGGTCATTTAATTATCTCGATGACTCCGGTCGAATTATACCAGATGAGCATAAAAAGTCAAACGAAAGAATCGATTCCATACGCAGTTGTAATTTACGAGATATATTTGTATACTCGCATAAAAAATCGAGGATCGATCTTTAGTGTGCCGACAAAATACGGAGCGATGATGATATCATCCATATTCTATAGCTCGCATAAAATTACGTCAACGGTTTAAGATGCTAATATTGTATATCCAGAAAACATAATTTTGAATCAAATCGCTGAGATATTTTGAAACGCGATTCATCATAAAGACATCTTGTATGTATTTGTAAAAAAGTAACTTGAGCTTCTTAATGACTCAATACAATCGGAATATGAGATCATTAAAAAACATAAGAGATGGTTAAATGAAAAACATAAGAGATGGTTAAATGAAAAAATGTATCCTTGAAATTAAACCCTGGTGAAAATTTTTCTCATAATTTTTATACGAATTGGAACATTTTTCAGAAATACTCAGAAATATTCGGAAAGTTTACATCTTCTCTCAGAACTTCTGATACAAGTGAATTCTGAAATATTCTGAAATTTTTCATCCCATAATTTTTAAAAAATATCTTTAAATTTTTTGGATTTTTTCATCAGAAATTATACTTACAAAAAATCTTAAAAATCTTACGATATTTCATAATTAACATATATGAAAAATTCTGAGAAAAGATTTTTCTGAGAAATGTTCCAATTCGTATAAAAAAATGTGAGAAAGTTATAAAATTATAGGGAAGTTCTGAAAAATTATATAGAAATTTTAAAAAATTATATAAAAAATTCTGAGAAAAATTTTCACCAGGGAAGACAATTCAATAATTAAATCCCAAAGATATATTGGGTTGTCCGGAAAGTTCGTGCCGACTAACCTATATAATTTAATAAATGTATACTAAAATTTAAATTTTCTGCGTTTCAATTTTCCTTCAATCATCGGTATGAACTTTCCGGACAACCCAATACATAATTACAATTCATATAATATCGTAGTATTATAATTATAATAATATCCATTATAATCCATATATTATAATTATGAAAATTATAATTACAATATAATTTTAGCATGTCGCAAAAAATCGCTTTTCAACTGATTGAACGTCTATGAAAATCTATCTTCGTTCTCCGTTTGTCATCGCTTTTGCGAAATTTTGAATGACAAGGAGAAGAGACGCTCGCTTTTTAGAATACCAAACGAATGGGGCGTGCGTACGGTATTATCTTTCTTTCTCTATCCAGAGAGCGGATAAGCCGGTTTCCCTAGATGCAAAATCGATCTGCATGCAGATGCACCCCTTGTGAGCGACACAAAGGTGGCAGACCAAAGAGTGGTCACCAGTTAACATTAGAGCCACTTTGAATATTTCATACGTAGCCATGACCGTAGATTGCACGCACGTGAAGTGCAAACACAACAAAGGCGAGGCAATGGTATTTTTTACCTGAAGACGCGGTGACGTTTTTTTTGTATGCGTACACCTCCGATAGAGATTTTTTGTCTCACGACCAGGGTTTTGACCAGCGTTTTAACGATCGTTGGATACTGGTAAATTGAAAACTTTCGCAATGTCGACTACAGCTGTTCATCGTTTCCTTCTTCTTGGAATAAAACGTTCGAGCTATATTCTTTTGTAGACGAATGATCATTAATTCGCTTGCTGTAAAATAGCGCTGATACGATATCCTATTATTAACATTTCATTTTTATATTTAATATGTGCGTATTATAATTATATCATTTTATTTATGCACTTAAAGAACTCTGTAATTATATGAATTTATCTTCTTTCCAAGATAATTAAATGATAAAGTAAAAAATTTAAACGAAAATTAGATAAATCAAAATTAATTATGGAAGAATATATTTCGATGAAGTAACACAAACTATCTTTTTTATATAAAAGTAAATGGTGTCTTAAAAATGTACTAGTTTTATACTTGAATAAATATGTATAACACATAGAGTAAATAAATGTTGATTTTCAATAATCTAGCGAAATCTTGTGCTTAATAATAATTTTTTTAAGTTACGTAATTATACATTTAATTTGTACGTTTCATCTCTGTGCTTTTCAACCATATGCTAATTTTAATTTTGAAATGTAATTTTATGTCAAAATTACAAATGTTATATATTACAAATTTTATATTATCAAATTGATGATTTAAAATTATTGATGCTAGCATCTTGTAAACAGTTATTTTTAAGAAATTTATTGCGAAAAATATCTTTTTCTATCTATTTTATTACACAAGACATGTTAATCTCTGTGTATAAAAAAGTCATTTTTTATAAAAGGTATTTTCGACTTCAAAATCTTTTCAACATTAATCTCCCAACTTACGAATGCCAAAATAAAAAATAATTCGATTTAAAAATAGTGATAAAATAGTATTATTTTTTCAGTTTAACGTAAAAGGTTAAAGGTGACGATAAACGCTATCTCTGACTATAAAAATTGACTTCTTAAGATATCGATCGACATAATAAAGAAACCTTGGCTGACAAACTGAGTAAAAAGCGATACCCCTCTGACAAGAACTGTGAATTATTTGATTTACTTACAATCTGATATCAAGATATTCTGACCCTTTATAGCTGGAAAGAAGAGAGAACTTGAAAATCTAATAGTATATTTTATTATACTTCATAACTTAAGTTTTAGTCGTTTTTTTCATTGCCGAAAATTAATATTTTCTAAACTGAATATGTTTCACAATTCAAAGAAATTATAAGAATATTTATTTAAAGGTATAATAAAATAATCTAAATATATATGTTTATTCCTTTATTACAAATGATCGCACATGCGAGCAATAATTATAATTAATTCTATTTTGTGAGTGAAAATGATATATATAATTAACAATATATAGTATTGTAATGCTTGTTTCAAAATTTATTTCTCTTGATTGCAACATTTACTATATTTCAATAATGCTCACATAATTGAGCGAAAAACTATTTTAATCAGAATATTTGAAAACAAGCATCAATATGAAAGTTAAAATTAGAAAATATCGCTCTACAATTTTTAATATATTAGTATATTACACAAAAATAATGCATTAATATTAATTTGGTCAGTCATTAGATCATGTATTACAACATTAATATGTATATAATTAAGCTGAATCCAGCTTGTACAGTATAGCTTTCAAACAATTCAAACAATAGGCATCGGATTTTCGAGAAAACGATCTCTCTCGAGAATTTATTAAAATTAGATACCTGTGTAACTCGACTATTATGTTAAAAAATCTAACTGTACAAAATATATTGTGCATCGCACAAAGCACAAGCGATTTTCTCTTTTTACAATATTGCATGGAAAAGAAAAATTTAAATTTTTCTATCATATAAAAATCCATATCTACAAAACTTGAACATCAACTTGAACAAAATCTGAAATTAATTGAATTCACGAATCAATGTAAAACTCTTGTAAAAATTACGAAAAGCCTATTTACATAACGAATACCGACACAAAAATATTCAATTGATATTTTGATATATTTCGTACAAATAAAAATTTCCTTTTTGAGAACCTGAGATTTCAACAGCGAATATTTCATATTATTCCATATGAATGATATGAACATTACATGTAGATACATATTTATTCTATTAATAAATATCTTTTCTTGTACTGGAACGATTTTTAGGCACTATAAGGCACCGTAAATAATTGTGTCCCTATTCGTGAAAACATTGGGAAGATTCATTAGATAAACTATGTAACTGCTTATTACATTTATAATAATAATTATTACATAAAATTATTATTTTTTTAAAAGTACAAACCATTTCCAATCAAGATTTTCTAATGACAGAGATCTTCTAGATTTATTTATTCAATAATGAATATATCTATCTACCTCCTATAAAAATAGGATATTAATTGTATCAGTTTTATTATCAGCCATTGAAAGCATCTATTATTTCTGTTATAATAGAAGACATCATTAAATTTTAGAATAAAATATAATATCAAATATATTACTGATAATTCATATTCATAATCTCTTTTTCGTTACTATTTTATTTTTTTAGATATAACTACTTTAATGTAAAAATCGATTTTTTTTAATTTGACCTGATTTTCAAATGTCGAATTTAAAAATCAAAGCTACAGAATTCTCTATAATAAGCAAATGTAATGTATAAGAATACATTCCATGCACAAATACTGGTTTCTCAAATTCTAATATCAACTTTGGCAAAATAATTAAAATCTGTGATAAAAATGCTAAGACAAAATTCATCTTGTTAACATAAATCATTATATTGTACATGGATTTGTTATACAATTGCTCTGTAAAGAGTAACAGCAATTTATATTAGGAACTATGAAATAAACCAGTAACATCATTATAACATTGTCTCATAGAGAAAACTTTCTCTTTCTTTATGGGAATTGATGTCTAATAAATGTCTAATAATATAGCATATACACGACTGAAATTTAAATCATTACATTTTTATCTTATGGCAGCCTAAACAAGTATTATTTACTCTGCTTTAAATTCCAGGTATTAGTGACACTTTATCACTAAAAATAATAGTAAAATATATAATTGTATTGTAATTTTTATACTTTAATTTCCATTATTCTCCCGATTTCTCAATATGGCTTGCCATATCCTGAGTTCAATTCCTCCCCTAAAATTATATATAAGATGTATAAGATGTATAGAGATAAGTTTATCTCTACACACATATGCTATTATTATTAAATAAAAGAAAGCATTTTTACCTTAAGTTTAGTCTACGGAGATCTTCCCGTGTAACATGACGCAAAATATCCTCCAGTGTATATTCCTCATATAGAATCTAAGAATATTAAAAAATAGTTCATAAATTACATGTAAAATAAATAACATGTAATTTATTTTTATTCTCATTCTCATTTCAAATATCCGTGGAATACTTACTCTATCGATTGATGTTTCATCTATTTGAAGATTCTGTAACCAATCGACAAGGGCTGTATCCGGATGTGAAACCGTACTGTGCGTATCGATAGTAGATATTAAGGATTGTTGAGATATATTTCCAAAAATGCAAGAATTGTAACTATAATTATTTAAAAAATACTTTTATATAAAGGATGTATTCAGTACTACAATCGCTCAGTGAGCTCTTGCATCTAATTGGCACATTCTGATAAGATCTAAAAATATAGGCCAAACAGATACAAGAGCTCAGAGAACAGATACTGAGCAGTCATGTAATGAATGCACTCAATGTTAATTAAATTTTTTTATACATTGCAACACGTAAAAGGCAGCAATAAATAAAGTAATAATTTTACAACAATAAAATAATAATTTTGCAACAATAACTAAAATAATAATTTTAATTAGAGTAATAAATAAATAATTATGCAGGAACATAAAAATAAAATGATAATTTTTCGTACCCTGATTCCTGTCTTATTGATCTTCTATTAATATTTTCACACAGATGTGTCAGTGTATTAACTTGGACTTTTTGCTCTTCGAGAGCTTGTTGCAATAACGTTTGATATGATTTTTGACTTTCTATCAATTCCTGAAGTAGCTTCATATTTTCCATTTTTAATGCTCCCATTTGATCTCTATATTCTTTCCAATACTTATTATCAACAGAGTCAGCGGTTTTTTGAGATTTCACAGAATTTACCGTTGATACCCCAGATGTTGATCCTTCCTCAGGACCTTGACCACCAGGTTGTACTCGTTCTTGTCCAAGTAAGTTGGCACCCAATTCTAAGTATACAAATTGTAACACAAAACATATTCCATGTAATGACTTATATACTATTTTTTTATTACATTTCTGATATATCTAATTTTTTGATTTTCAATAAAAACTGTTTAAATCAGATATGTATGAACTCGAATAAAATGCGATAATCTTCTTACTGAACGCGACGTTCATAAAAGATTCCATATTATTAGTGATGACTTTCCCTCGAGATATTTTTAGAGTTGACATGATAATATACTCAATCTCTTCATGTGTATTACACTTAAGATACATACATATGTTACACATCTGGTTCATATTCTAAATAATGGCCAAAATGAAAATTTGGCCAATTAAGTGAAACATTTTTTCTTTTACTCACAGGAGTGAGTGTTCTCAATGACGTCTGTCAAATATGTGACAATTTATTCTCATTTTTATTAAGGAAAATAATACTTACCGGGAGATAAAACTGTAATAGCAGCTTGAACAGCATTTCTTACTAAATTGTCTAAAGCAAACATCCAATGTGGCTTTATACTGTGCATTCTGAGAACCTCATTTGCTGCTGTTTGAAATAAATAAATAGCCAAATGTAGATGATTAATAGCGGTCGAATCGAAATCCAATTCCTCTTTCAACGTTCGAATAGCGGTTACTATTACTTCCTGATTTTGCTCTGCTATATAATCCCTCAAACCACGCATGAGCAACACTAAGTGACTCTAAAATAAAGAATTAAGTATATACCGGCAATTATTTGCAACACAACATGATACTTCAGTATATAAATACCATTTGCAACACAGTTTGTCCTTCCGCTTGATGTATACCTCTCATCCACACCTCGCAAATTTTTGCTTCATCCTGGTTGAGAACCCTTGTTAATGTCATACGTCTTTGACTATCCTTCTTTAACAGATAAAAACCCTCTTGTTCTTCTCCAGATTTTTGTCCTGGTTGTCCTGTTTTACCCCAATTCTCCATAAATATAAATGATAATATCATATCATAATAAATCCTGAACAAATGGACAATTCGCAATTCTTCATCTATCCATCTGTCCACGATTACAATATTTATTTATATTGTGATCTGAATAAATTCTTTTTGATATCTTTTTAAAAATAATTTCCGATACTAATAAATTCTATGAAGTATCAATCCTACGAAGTGATAGATTAAATTTACCTCCTAATTCAACTTCTGGTGATAACAAGCCACCAGACGAACTTCTTCTAGTTATTGAGACACCAGCTGTGTCAGTTTCACTAGTTTCTATCGATGGAGTATTCCCTATTGTACTAGTAAGATATAAACAAATAATATTAATTGTTTTATATTATAAATCTGTCTATCTATATTAACATTTAAACTGTCTACAAAATGATAAAATTTTATTAATATTGTGTGTCAAAGGATTATTAACGCATTTTGCATATAACTATAAAAGTGATAATTTTATATTTTAAATATTTTAATATTCTGATATTATTTAATTATCTAATAATTTATACAAAATAAAAATTCGATTAGTTTTACATCATATAATATAGAAGAAAATAATACAGAAATATTATTACAAAAAATATATCAAAAGAGAGAAAGAGATACACAATCTCTATATATTTAATATGATATATACAACAAAATTTATATAAATAATTCGAATGATTCATCTATTTTGAGGGTATATATTTATTATTGTTTAAAGGTAGAAAAAGCTATGATTATAGGATAAGTCAAATGTTAAAAAGCTGCTTTATTTAAATTGTGTTCTACTAAATTGTATTCACATAAACTATAGTATTCACTTAGCAAAGCTTATATGTTAATATGTGTTTATGTCAATAGTATATACTTAAGAAGATAAATCCAGACCCCAAAACGAAAAATGTTATTATATTATTTTATTTCGAATAATATTTTAAAGTATCTAATAATAATGTTATATCTAATATTATTGCTTACATAAAAGATAAAGGAAATTTGAAATTAATACAACTTACACAAAGCTGGGTTATATATTGAGACATTATATACTATTATTATATGAACGTATAAACATTTAATGTAATGTGCAAAAAGTGATGACTTCATAACTACGGATGTTTATTATATAAGACATAAGCAGTTCGAAGACACTGATTAAACATTTTGTACATTTAATATTCATATAAATGATCATATAAAAAAAGCTATATAATTAATGTTTACGAATAAGTAACAAAACAAAATAGTCTTTTAGTTATATACTTTGCTTGCATATAAACAATTTACGAAGTTAGAACCATACCTGTTAAAAGAGAGGGTTGCAGTAGGCATGCTGATGGGGGATAATAGGTGAGCTGGGCTGCGTTCCCTCAATGGGCTAGACTTCGTTAACCCTCCACTAAATTTAACATTTTATAATTACAATTTGCTACGTGCATTCACATAAAGGAATATTATATTCTTGTATCATATTCTTTATATGTAGAATGCAATTTCGATAAAATACTTTTAATATATTCATTAAAAAATATGATGTGGATATTAAAAATTTGGAAATAAAGTAAAAATTCACATAATTTTTACGTTACAATATATAGCATAACAATATATAGCACACAATTTAAATTTGTTATTCCTTAGTAATACTATATAAAAATAATCAAGTTTCGTAAATGGCATTTCCGAACGTTTCAATGTCAATCTAACAATTACCAAGCGACATAAAAAATTAGCAACAAAAATTACTTGATATAAATAAAATAAATAAAATAAAAGTACAACATAATAAAACAAAGGCGAGATGTCACAAATTACAAAAATACTTACACATAGTACATTATAATAAAAGTAAAACATTTTATAATACCTATCATCGGATTGAGACATCTGCATAGGTGTGGCAGAGACAATGTGATTATTATTTGTTTTATCGCATTTCCCCAAACGTTCCATTCTGTCTGCAGGAACTGATATGCTTCTACTAAAATCTGGTGGTGCGACTAATCTGTTACTTTTCTTTTTCCTATAATAAATAAGCATTTTACTATACGATTGTAAAAAAATTATAAAACTCTACAGTACTATGCTTATTTATATACTCATTAAGAAATGGATCCTCCAACAATTCTGCCGCGGTTGCTCTTATATCAGGATTCGGCTCAAAACAACGTAATATAAAACTTTTTGCTCTTTCAGATAACTCTGATGGAATCTCAGGATGTATTTTGTAATATCCCACCTGTGTGCAAACAAACATATATACATCAGACTTTAAATAAGTTAATAATTTTCAATATTTAAAATGTTAATAATTTAATATTCTCAATTTACTTTAAAAACAGCTGCTTGTGGAGAACCTAGCTCAATGAACGGAGGTTTTCCGGTGGCCATCTCAACTATCGTGCAACCTAAAGACCAAATATCCGCCTAAAGAAAAATTTGAATAATTATTATTATATATGATACAAACATGTCTTTATCCTACGAACATTCTCAAAACAAAACATTTAATTAAACATAAACTTACAGGCGCACCATAACCACGTTGACCTTTGTCAATAACTTCTGGTGCCATATACTGTAATGTTCCAGTAAATGTTTCTGTACTCGGGCATAAGCCAGCCAAACGTTTGGACATACCGAAATCAGAAATTTTTACTACTCCACTGTATGTATTTACCAACACATTATCACCTAAATTATATATTTAAATTTACTTGTGTGAAAATAATTATAAAGATAAAACTACTTGAACAAATAAGCGTAAAATTTATTTACTCTACAAATTATATACCTTTTATATCTCTATGAACTATTTTTTGGTCATGGAGATATTTAAGACCCTCCAACATCTGTTTAGTATAATATGAAATAGTTGATTCGTTTTCTTTCAAAGGGCCCCACTTCGATCTTAGCAAAGCTGATAAACTTCCTGAAATTGTGACAATTATGAATATTTATAAGTGCCATTTTTTTGATGTTATACTTTTCTTCTTTTTTACCTCCAGGAACTTGCTCCATAAAGATTTTAAAATATCCATCCTCGCTTACAGAGCCCAAATATTGAACAATATTTCTGTGCCTCAATTGACTATGTAATTTAATTTCTTCATGAAGAGGTTGTACATCACCCAAATTTCTTTCACGAATTTCTTTCACTGCAATCCTGACTTGCGTATTTAAATCACGCGCTGCGTACACCACGCCGTATGTACCTTTACCGAGAATTATGCGCTTGTTTTGATCATCCAATTCATACTCGAACTGAAAAAACACAGCAAACAATTAAAAATTATATATAAAACGTGCATGTACACTACTATAAGTGATATTAAAAATGGATAGAAACCTTCATGCGATCATCAGTCATGTAAGCATCCAAATCTGTAACCATGCCTTCTTGATCTCTAGTCATTTCTAAGATCAAGTCGTAAAATCTTTGCCTACATTGTACTGATGGTAGATACATTTGAAAATCATCCGAATTTTGATGAACGTACAGAAAAAGACATCTTTCATCCCTTTTATACAAGCTTACGCTACGTATCATATTTGCAGTAAACAACCAATCGTGAACTTGTTTGCAATTGTTTCTCATATTATCCAGACATAAATTCCATATTTGTATAGACTTCTCCTCCGCGCCGAGATTCACGTTTACATAACTCGGCATTAAAATTTTTGTTGGTTCCAACACTAAAATCTGATAAAAAAATATTCTGATGTATTAAGCGTTTTTATTGGAAAAATTATTAAAGTGGGAAGTTGATTTTTAAGAGTGAATCCATAAATCTGCACTAAGAGCAGTTTTATATTATTCTTACTTTGACCCAAAATGTACAGAAGTAAGCTGGATTGGTAACACATAACTATAAGCCATAATCTCCCGAATTGGAAACTGGATCCTCAGTAGAACGATTCCATTTATCAACTTACTGGAAACCGTATACTATCGCCAACCTCCGGCTTTGTAGCTTCGACAAAGTAGTCCATCCAGAAACTAAATATTTGTTCCTCCGGTGCAATCTCAGCTTCCTCATTTTTTTTACGGAACCTATCTATCAGTGATATGTTGCCAATTGTTGATTTCAGATACCTAAAAATTAAAATAATTAATTATTAATTAATTAAAATAAGTTCTGAAATATATATTTTGCTCTGCATTCTAAACATATTATATTAAAAAATTTTATAAAATAAACATCTAAACTTTATTTCTCGTATACTTACCAATTCGGTGGCTTCAATTTAAACATACATTCAGCTGCTTGTATAGCTTTTGAATAATCTTCCGCTAATACACTAATTTCAAAGAATGTTGCTACATCCCAATAATCTTTTAAGCTCGGTAAACTACCTTTCTTGCCAATTAAGTTATTTAATACCATTCCTATGTGTTGTAATTCCTCACTTTTAGAAAACTCGTTTCCGGCTATGACCAATAAAGTAGCAAGATTTATACCAGCATATTCATTAGGCTGAACCTACAAATATAACAATAACAAAACATTATGCATACACTATTGAGATAATTCCAATAAAAGAGAAATGATGTATACAGATACTATACCTCAAAACCTTTTCTATACCAGTGAATCGCATTTTTTAAACTCTCCTGATCTGTATGTCTACTTTCGACAAATTTGTCTTTATATATTCTTCCACATAAACATAACATATCGGGAACATGATTTTCCTTTTTTTCCAGTGCTTTCTCGATAACCTTTAGTGCTCTTTCTCGATCACCCTCTTTATTCCGTCGATTTAAAGCAAACGCATATAAATACCTTATCGCTGGAGTATTTATATAATTCTTATGAGTTGGTATAGTTCTCAAATCGTCAACCAATTGTACCATTGCATCATAATCCTAATGATATTAAAATAAATGTAAATGTGTATATTTTTACATAACAGTACAATTTTCATCGGAAAGTAATATTAATCTATCATTATTTGACCTGTATTTCCCGGAATGAAATGAGAACATTTAAAACGACCTCTCCTGATAGAACATTTGGATCATCTAAACGTTTGCGCATGTTATTCAGTGCTCTGGAAAGTTCTTCTCCAGAATATGTTTCACGCGCCTTTCGTAGATCTGCCAAAAATTTCTCCTTCATATGTGCTCTGGAAATTTTAATAAAAGCATTTTTCATATATATATATATATATTAAAAATTATATAATCTGTTTTCCGTACTTTGTAAAGGTAATGATTAAACATTTCTAATATAAATAAAGTTTCTGCTTGCGAAAAATTTTCGTATATGCTTACTTGGATTGTATTTCTACATCCTGAAACAATTTCTTGAGTTTCAGAGTGAGATGCTGTTTAGGATCTATTGTTTCTTCGCCTGTGATTCTGCTGGTTGCTGGATTAGTAGCCACACATGATCCACACGATTCCACAACGCGATACGAAACAAATGTGTAACTGCCACAGGATAACTGTAAAAAAAAACATATTTCTATGTAAATTCATAAAAATAAGTGCATATCGTTATAATTAAAAAAATATTAATTTTATATAAACGCTACCAGAAAAATAATAATTACGATTTAAAAAATTACATGAAATAAATTATTTGCATTTCTATTATTTTATGTATACATATTTTATATATTACGTTATCAATAATCTATGCTTAAATAACAAATTGAACTTAATATTTGATTATTCATAATCTGTTATTTCATAATTATTCATATATTTTTCATTAATTTTAACATATGCATTTTAAATTCCTTCTCGAGTTCTCTTATAAATCGTTATAAATTGTTCAATATGATAATTTCGAGTAAAATTAACAATCCAGGTGCAATAAAATGAAACGTACGTATAACAAATCAGTAATAAATCATAAAGAACATACACAGTTGCACACAATCAGCTATGCCAGTATTACATTGAGTAACTGCTATATTGAGAATATGAGCTCACGTTTTTCTACTCCATATTAAGCGGAATTACATATTTGGTGCTTGCCCAACAGGCAGAGACATCATTTCATTTGATGGATCATATTTAACCCGCGGCAGTCTGACGTCGAATACCGTTCCGCGTACAACACGTTTCTAATTGCCGACCACAGTAAAAATATCAAGTCTTTTCGAAATTCTCGAAATAACAAATCTCGCAGAAAATTATATCAACAAATAAAAAATAATTATGTTAATAAAAAGTGATTATAAAAAATTCACTGTTAAAGTTAACTGTTAAAGTGCCTACAACAAGATTAAACTACTCGTGAGAAATGCGTAATAGCAAGTGAAATGCATCATAAAAGTTAATCTTTTTTTAATATTTTGCACTTTCTTTAATCTTTTTATATAAATTAAATATGGTATAATTTTATACGGTATAATTTTAAATACGGAAACAGTTATTAAAATAAAATCATTTACATATTATAATAATTCTTTCTATACTAGATGAATATCTTCTTAATATCAAGAATGCAGGAATAGTGGAACTGTTTGATATGCTGTGCATACAGTGCATACAGTGTGGGTCTCTTGCGCCCCGAACAATCTATTTATGAGAGCATTAATTGAGATCATAGCTATGAAGTGCATCCTAGATCTAACAAACGGTCAAGGTCACTGTGTTTTACTGCTACTACTACTGCTGCTGCTGCTGCTGCTGCTGCTGCTGCTGCTGCTGCTACTGCTGCTGCTGCTGCTGCTGCTGCTGCTGCTGCTGCTGTTGCTGCTGCTGCTGCTGCTACTACTACTATTACTACTACTACTATTACTACTATTACTACTATTATTATTATGTATAGTTTTTTGCAATGAATGTACGAGACTTATTCGCATTCACATCCTAAAAGCAATGAAAAATACATATGTGCTGTACAAAGTATATACATACCTTGAGTCTAATTGTAGCTTCTGTATCTATGTCATTATATAGCAAAATGTTTTCCTTCATTCCAAAACTTTCCCTGACACCGAGATGATAAAACAGCGCAGATTGTTGCAATTGTATACTTAAATCCACAACTGCCACATCAGCATTATAAAATGTGTCCAGCACATTAGTTTCGCCAAAATCAAGTTTTTCAAACTATAAAAAATGAAAAATCAAATAGAGACCAAAGTCTTGTATCTTCAGCTATTTTTAGCTTATAAATATATAAAAAAATATTCTTAAGATTATCTAGCATTTGACTTTTGATATAAAAAGCTTGTTTTGAAACTGATAAGATTGATGTGTTGCAATAATTTAATTTTTTCACATCTTTGTTCAGAGTCTCATTGAAAATGCATATTTTGCTATCCTGCTGTTATTTAAACAGCCAATTCATGCAAAAACTATACCTGTATATGATGTATATTGGCATTGACCAAATTGCAAGCCTGTCTAACTTCATCTAGTGCTTTCTTTCGTTGAACAAGATGTTCCGATTGCTGCAAATCCAAGACGCAGGCCACGTCCATTCTGGGCCTCCCTGGTACTGTTGTGTGCCCCGATATGTCACTCTGTGTTCCCACACTATCCGTACTGGAGATGCCTTCCATGACGCTTGATTGCGAGGCAGCTGTACAAGATTATTCTTATATGAAAGTATTTACACAGCTACTATATTGAGAAAAAGTATAAGCATGGTACAACAACAGTGTTCATAAAGACTATTCTTTTTCAAAGAATATTCTGAGTTGTACACTGGGACACTGATGCAATAAATTAGAATGAAATAATTGATATTTATAGTTTATTCTTATATTCAAGGGAGTTTTAAATACAGTCTTAAGATAATACAGTCATAAGCTAATTACAGTCATATTAGCATCTTAAGACATTATTTGAAACAGTCTTAAAATAAAAATAGACTTATGAATATTCTCCTATATTTATTCCACTCCAACTTATTGTATCAGGGTTCAGAACATTCTTTAAAAAATAACACAGTTCAGAACTCATTTCAGAACATTCTTCAAAAAATAACAAACTTAGGTCTGATTACACCAACGTTACTTTAATTTTAAGCGTGGCTTAAACTTTTTCCCTTTCTGTCTATCGACTTAAAAAAAAGAAAGAGAGATTTTAAACTTCGCTTAAAGTCAAAATAATGTTGATGCAATCGGATCTTATAGAAATGTATGATTTACCAGCCGTATCGATCATATCACCACAAACAGAAGGCATATTGTTTTGTACTCCACTTGATACACGATTGATGTTCCCCTTGTACTCCTCTCTTGTAGAGAAAGACCAAGTTGCTTATTAATGTGTATCTGTTCATAAAACAGAACGTCAAGCGCTACGTTCTAACTGACATGCCACCGAAAACGCTCGTAATCGATTCACCTGCACGTATATAAAAACAAGTGCGTAATGTCATTTCCTCGTGGGACACCAATCTCTCATGCCGAAGATTAGCTCGAGATTGAACATGCGACGAACATCACTTTTCGAACAATTCATTGCTCCCTGTCTCACGACAGGACCAGCGCGGGGAAGTGAAGCTGCGAAGTGCTCCAGGGAGGATACGCAACAAGAATACCGTGCATTCACTAGCAGCGATAAATATACTAGTCTGGCTCTCCGTGGAACTCAATCAGAACCCGGGATTAATCCGCACGATGTAATAAACGGACACAGCAAAAGATAATTCTCGTCACGCGCATCGTAGGAACCGTAACATCCACTTCTTCTGGAGCACGTACATCCAAGGGTCCGAAGTCGAGAAGGTGCTCGCGTAGCCAAGTTCTTCGTTCCACGAAGAAACGTTTCATGTCGCTTCACAGATGGCGGCGAGATCAGAGCCGCTCCGCCGGTATAAAAATAGACGTTCTCAAGATAGCGCGAATCATTCCGGCCGTACGAAACTCAAACGTTCTAGAAAGCGTGTCTGTACAATATAAATCATTCGGATACGAGAGAAGCGGATGCGATAGAGCGTCGCTTCACCTTGACGAGAATATTAATATAAATCATATATGTATATAACATATATATGTATATAACATAATATAGGCTTATATTTAGAACGTACATACTTGCTTTTATTCATAATGCGCTTTTATTTTTAAAATTCTATTTGGTACATACGTAATTTAAACTATATGCTAAATAAAATACTTGCGTTGTAACCACGTTCTGTATGTATCAGTTATAATATTTGTAGTTTAATTAATTATACATTCTGATAATATGTATAATGTCCGTTATAATTATATATCGCACGTGTAAAAGACCGCGGCACGTGCCAGATTCTTAGTATTCCATCGTCGATCGTCTTATTAACACAATTATTCGGGTCAATCGAAAGTCCTTGGCATATGCGTAATCGAAAGACGTTAAATATGCTGCAAGCGATAAATTATTATAAATCCATACTGTCATCAGCTCAATTATTATACAGGATGTCCCGAAAATTTTTGCCAATCGCTTCGTGTAGATAGAGCGGACTAAACTGAGTCGAAAGTCCCCTATTTTGCAATTTTTGCAATAGTTGACAAGATATTAATTACTAAAAATTGCCAAATATTGGTCTTGAATAATTTTTCACTCAAATACCATAAACTTTACAGAAAAACTGCAAGAGATAAAAATTTATTTTTATTTTCTTCTCATAGAACTCTAAAAATTTTTTCAGAATTTTTTATCAATTTTTTAGTACTGCATTTTCTTATTTTTACCAACGTGAGAAAATACGATATTAAACAATATTGAACAAATTCTGAAAACAATTTTTTCTTTGGAAACTTTGGAAGAAGAATGATACATTTTCAATCTCATTTCAGAAATACACTACGTACCATTAAATTCTATCTGCCGCCGAATATTATATTAGCCAGAAAAAATTGGGAGATATTTTTATTTAATTTAAAATATAAAAACCGTGGTAGTGATTTACAAATTAATTATATATTTATTTGGCCTCGTCAATTATAATTTTGCATAGCCAAGAGAAATACGATTGTTTAAACATTAATCTTCCTCCTTAATTAATACTTTAATTAGCTGTAATAATTTTGAACATTAGCCTTGGAAGACTTAAAATCAAAAAATGCTCCACAAGCAATGTATTGGCTTGTCCGGAAAGTTCGTGCTGATGTTGAAGGAAAATTGAACGCAGAAGATTTAAATTTTAGTATACATTTATTAAATTATATAGGTTAGTCAGCACGAACTTTCCGGACAATCCAATATTTCCTTAGGATATCCTAATTTGATCAGATTGATTCCAAACATTAAATCCACATAATTAGCTCAAGACATTTCTAATTATCATTGTACTATAAAACGTTTCTAGAATATGTTATTTTGATCTGAAAAAATTTTTATCACAATTGATAAATTGTGTTTTTCAACTTTCGACACATATATGTCATATGCATTTACGTATTGTATGTATATTATAAAGATATATGTTTGCAATTTAATTGTTAATTTTTTAAATGTATATACATAAATATCTCACGTAGAAGAATCAATCATTTTTATTTTAATTTAATCATATTTTAATAATTTAATCATATTTTAATAATTTAACCATTTTTATATGTTATTAATTTGATAGTTGCAACTATAGCTTATTTTGTTTTTGTATATTTATTTTTGAATAGATATATGGTTATTTATTAACACACGTCATGTCTCGCGCTATCATGCTTAGCGCCGAGACTATCAGTGTCTCCAGATTAACAAAGCAAAAGAAGTTTTCGATATAATTTACATATTTTATAAAATTGATTTTATCAATTGTAAGCACTGTTTTAATGAAAATTTTCCATTTTACTAATTAAACTAACTGAATAATTCTATTTAAAAAAAGCACTTTCAGAAGCTCCATGAGCACATTTTGAACAAGCTAAAGCCTATTCTACAACGTGCTTTTTGTTTTCTATTTCTTGCTTTTTACATCTTTTATTTTTTTCTCCTTTGCAACCGTTTTATCGACAATTATATTTCTTACTTCTTTCGAAGTTCATTAACTTTTATCGAGCGACATAGAATAATAAAAAAACTGGATAAGAAGCAAAAAGATAAGATGTAAAAAATGATAAAAAGCAAGAAAAAGAAAATAAAGAGCAAGTGATGAATTCCTTTTGCATTCGCATCATTTTTTCCTCACGGAAAACGCCCATTCCGCGGCGATAATGCGTACTACGCCGTTTGCCTGGCAGAGAAGTATATGTACGCTATAGGCGTATATACAGGGTATCCCCAAAGTTTTTGCCGATTGTTTTTGTGTAGAGCGGACTAAACTGAGTCGAAAAGTCCTCTACCATTTTGCAATTTTCGCAATAGTTAACAAGATATTACTAAAAATTGGCCAAATATTGGTCTTAAATAATTTTTTACTCAAATATTATCAATTTTACAGAAAAACTGCAAGAGACAAAAATCATTTATTTTTTTCTCATAAAGTTCTGAGAATTTTGTCAGAATTTTTTCAGAATTTGTTAATACATGTATTTTCTCCTGTTGGTAAAAATAAGAAAATGCACTAAAAAGTTGATAAGAAATTTCGAAAAAATTCTTAAAGTTCTATGCGAATCCCTATAAAGTAAGGTTGACAATTGTCCGAGAGTATCCTATATAAAATAGATCCGAGATGAAATATCCGATGAAGCGGATCTGTTTCAAACTATTTAGAATTTAAATATCCGAACCGTGTTAAAATTTTATGATTAAAGCGTTCATCATTTGAATTTCAGATCTCTCATTATCTTTTTCTATATATACAGGATATGTGTATATATGTATGGGAAAGCAAAAGATTAAGGAGAGAGACGCTAGAGAGAGAGAAAGAGAGAGAGAGAGAGAGAGAGAGAGAGAGAGAGAAAACGAGACATAGTGAGACCGAGAAATAGAGTGCCTTCCAACAGACGACAGATACGGTGTGACATAATGGATCATTACATTCTTGTTTGCTAATGTTAAACGAAGATGAGATGATTACTGTGTTGTATTGTGTCACTTGTTGGAAGGTATATATACAGAGAAAGCAAGAAAGTGAGAGAAAAACTTTATATATTTATTTTGGCTTATATTATTATAAG